CTCACTCAACCATATACCTACTGTGATAACTACTCTAGAGCTTAAGTCCAAAGAGTAGTTTGGACTCCTTCCCTTTGCAAACTGTTTCAGAAGTGGGAAGTAATGATGACAGGGCCAAATCTCCTGGCATACATACTAGTAACCCTGAGATGAAGGAAGCCTTTCTCTCCTGTTGGTGTCTATATGCCCATTCCCAGCTTATCCAAAGCCTGGGCTAATGGTGGAACATAAGAATATAGGAATTACCCTTATAAGAATTACTGGGTCAGACCATAGGTTCATCTTGCTCAGTATCCTGCGTTATGCAGTGGCAGAGAGTGGATGCTGAAAGGGCGAGTGCACTGGGCATAACCAGGGTTTTTTTTCCCCCCAGTTCCTCTCTCACTTGCAGCCTCCGGCATTTAAGGTCCAGGAAGTTCTGATTCAGAGGCTGTATTCCTAACTTCCTTGCTCAACAGCTAGTGATGCTCTTTTCTTCTAAGAATTTGTCTAGTCCCTTTTTGAATCTGGCTAAACGGTCAGCTTCCACAACATCTGGTGGCAACGAGTTCCCCACTTCAATAACACGTTTCGTGAAAAAGAACTTCCTTTTGTTAGTTTGAAACTTATTACCTACTAGTTTCATTTTGTGACCCCCCTAGGTCTTGTATTGAGAGAATAAATAATAAATCCCAATTTACTTTTTTCTCACCATTTAGTATTTTGTACATTCTTATCATGTCCCCCTAAGCATCTCTTTTCTAAACTGAACAGGCCTAGCCTCTTTAGTCTCTCCTCAAATAGAAGCCCTTCCATACTGCTAATCAACCTTGCTGCCCTTCTCTGGACCTTCTCTAGCTTTTCTATACTCTTTTTTGAGGTGTGGAGACCAGAACTGGACACAGTATTCAAGGTGCTGATGCACTATGGATTTATCAAGAAGCCTTTTAAAAATATTGCAATCACATTAGCTGAGGCTGTTTTTAGTGATAGGGTGCATACTACAGTTGGGAGCTTGTCAATTTCTGATCTGAGCTCCTTCAGGACCCTAGGACAAATGCTATGAGGTCTTAGGGAACCTGGGGCACTTCTCCCTGCCCAAACATTTCAGCATCACCTTCTCAAGTTCCATAACAGTCAGTGCAAAGTGAGGGAGAAAATCTAAGTCATGCAATCTTTTACCAACTACCATGAAATGATTTGAAAACACCCTTGATCAACATTATGGCAGTGTATTATATAGACCAGGGGCAAAATGTGGGAAAAATGTGGCCAGGGGCCAGATGCAGCCCGCCAGGCTATTCCATCTGGCCCACGGGGCCTCTAAAAAATTTAGAAAATGAATATTTATCTGCCCTGGGCTGCCTGTCATGTGACCCTTGATGACTTGCCAAAACTCAATAAGCAGACCCTCTGCCCAAAATAATTGCCTGCCCCTGATATAGACCATGGGTAACAAATTCATTAGACCCCAAGTACCCTGGATGGCCCCAACAAGCTGGAATTTGTCTGGCACAGTAAAGAACTGATCTATGCAAAAGAATTGGTTTACTGTGAAAGCTAATCAAGAAAACGTCATGGCAACTGATAAAAGATGCCAGCCCTTGAGACTCAAGTTCTAACTTCAGAGGAGGTTTGTTCAATTCATCCAGAATGCAGTGGGGCCAGATCTGGAGCTGTGTCAGGTGTATGACACGGTCAGAAATTTAGTGGTGGCAGTGTTAATTGCTGCAGCTCTTGGAGCCACAGCAGCCCCTGCTCACCCACTGCTCAATTTTTCTTGTGGGCAGCACCACTTGCCAGATGAAACAATTCCATGCTCTGGATCCAGCTTGCTGGGCTGGAAATTTGGCAGTGGGGTAAACAGTGGCACCATTAATAACTGTAGTTCTGGGATCTGGAACATGGAGCTGAATCATGTGGCAAGGCTGGATATATAGAAGTGGGAGCAGTGGTGGCTGCTGTGGCTCCATGAGCTGCAACAATTAACACTACCATCGCTTACCCCACTACCACATTCCCAGACCTGGGCTGGATCTTTAATTCTCCTGCTTTGGAAGAGTGGCTCCCAACCTTTTTTATACTGCAGGCCAGCATGGCAGTGGTGTGGGTGCGGGATGGGGTGCCGGCTGCCTCCCTCCCGGGGTTGCCCCACCACCCAACGCGTGACTGCTGGCAGTGGAAGCCGCTTGCTCAGGCAGACGAACGGGGGTCTGAGCAGGTGGCTTGTGCCACAATCTGGTAGCCAACCCTTCGCAGCCCAGTACCAGGCCGCGGCCCAGTGGTTGGGAACCTCTGCTTTAGAAGGAAGAAAAAACACTCGGGCAGAAGCTTTGTAAACCTGCTCACAGTGCACTGCCAAAGCCTACCACTTGGTGGAGGAAAGAAGCAAGTTAGAGTTTCCCTTTTAGTTTGCTAAGATCTTTTTTTTAAAGAATGTTCATGCACATTGAAAGCCTGACAACTGAAACTCAGGATTGCGTCTTTCCAGACATTTTGCTAATTTAACTCCCTCAATTAAAAGGCAAGCTATTGAACTATTTATTAATCCCCCTGGATTATATATTGGAAGAAACTTTTTATTCCTTTCCAGGAGACAAAAAACCCATTTGGTAAAATGGGATCCAACAACAGCTCTTGTTGCAATAACCACTTACGTCCCTAAAACAAAAATTGAGAAAATCAAATGATACCTGTTGCAGTATTTCATTCTCCTGTAGGTATTTTTTGGCAGCTTCACTAGTGTTGGCTACCTGAAGTTCCAGAGCTACCTGAATTCCCATCTCTTTTGCCAACTGAGTGATTAGGGTAATAGTACGCCTTAATACTCTGAGGAAGAAACACAGTGAATAACAAGTAGTGTAATGCACAGTGAAAGTTTAAGCATTATTGCATTTTTTCTCTGGTATGAATCCTAGCTTTCTGTTTAGATTTATAATAGATGTAAAGATGAACAAAAGTACTTCTATAGCTAAAGTAGAGACTGCTTAAGATCGTCTATCATTATTAAGATGCACATGTAAGCTCAGGAGTCAAATGCTTGATAAAATTAAAAGCTGAAAAGTCTTTCAAACTGTATTCCAGTTCCAAGTTTTATCTTTTGCAAAGGATAACATCACAAATGCTCCATGTGTCCCCCACCATGTGTTCCACAAGATGGAGTCCACCCTCCCTGCCCCACCTGCCTGGGTTGAGTGGGTCCTTAGAAAAACAGAAGGGCAGAGATATGCATTGAAAAGGCTTATGCTGCTGTTATTTAGTTTTTCACCTAAGACAACCAAGCTCAAGAACCAAGCACCAAGATACTATGGTAGGGCGGATAATATAAAAATCTCTATATAAAATACTTGACAAGTGTAAAATGTAACTTAAAAAATGTTGCTTAATATACATTAGAAATATTTGTCTGTTACTCCCTCATATATTTATTGACAATTTTGTATTTTATTGCATACAACACACCGCTGTATATAATATGCACCTTGTTTTTGAGAGGTAGTATGAAAAAAAATCTTCCTTGTACAAATTGAGTAACAGCAGCTAGGGAGCCAAGACTGCTCCTGAGCTTGCTGCCAGTCCTGCGTACTGGATGGGGCGTGCGGATTGAGTTGCCAGTTTCTGAACTGATTGGTGTGCCAATCCAGTGTAAATGGGGCCATGCTGTCCAGTCAAGGGAGCTCTTTATGGGTCTGAAAGTTAGGGGTTGGGGAATGGTGGCAATATTAACTGTCATGACTCCCAGAACAACGGCACTTAATGCTGCTACCAATTCCCTGCCACCAGGTTTCTGGGTCAGAGCCATGGGGATCTGTTCTTCTTGTACAGAATGTTCACCCCAATTTTCACCAGCTGGTTTTGGGGAAAGAGGTGTGAGTTACACGTGAGAAAAAAAAAACCCTGTAGGCTGTTTTTTTTAAATGCATCTAAAAGACATTTAAATTCACTTGTAACGTAAGTCAGAAAATGATACATAAAATTATAGAGCAATCTTTCTGTTGCAGAGAACTCAAACCCCAGCAGGTCAGAATATTTGTGTCACTATGGATTCCTATTTGGAATCTCTGGGCTTACCTCGTGAATCACATGCAGGTGTTTGAACCTGTTGTACCTTTAAAGATGCCCTGGCACCCTAGAGTGCCATAGTATCTTGTTCAAGAATGACTAGTCTATAGCAGGGGTGCTTATCCCCCAACCCACGGACATGATCCAGACTGCTGA